TTTTGGTCCCTCCCTCAGGGGGGGGACAGGGGCCCCCCAACTTTTTTTTTCAAATGGCAACCCCTATCTTGTGATACCTCATTTTAAAGAACATAAAAAACTAAGAATTTTGGCGCAAACCGTAGATCGATATCTCAATTTTTGACCGAGTTATGATAGGTCAAAGGTCAAATTTGACCTATTTTCAAAAAATCATCACTCCGGTTCAAATTATCGTAAAGAAAAAAATAAAACGGGAAAATTTACCAAATTGTGTTCGCTTTTACGTAAAAATTGCAGAAATCACTTCGATTCAATTTTAAGGGGGGGGTTCGGACCCCCAAATACGTCAATTCAAAGGTCATTCAATTTTCCCGCGAAATAAGCCAATTTCCTCTGGATTTGCCTCCACATTATCTCAGTAAGGTCAAAATCAGTTCAACATTACGTTGGCAAGTCCCCAAATTTCGGGAAAAGTTAAAAAAACGAAATTTAAACGGTCAAATTTAATCACCTTAAATTTCGTTTTTTTAACTTTTCCCGAAATTTGGGGACTTGCCAACGTAATGTTGAACTGATTTTGACCTTACTGAGATAATGTGGAGGCAAATCCAGAGGAAATTGGCTTATTTCGCGGGAAAATTGAATGACCTTTGAATTGACGTATTTGGGGGTCCGAGCCCCCCCCTTAAAATTGAATCGAAGTGATTTCTGCAATTTTTACGTAAAAGCGAACACAATTTGGTAAATTTTCCCGTTTTATTTTTTCTTTACGATAATTTGAACCGGAGTGATGATTTTTTGAAAATAGGTCAAATTTGACCTTTGACCTATCATAACTCGGTCAAAAATTGAGATATCGATCTACGGTTTGCGCCAAAATTCTTAGTTTTTTATGTTCTTTAAAATGAGGTATCACAAGATAGGGGTTGCCATTTGAAAAAAAAAGTTGGGGGGCCCCTGTCCCCCCCCCCTGAGGGAGGGACCAAAATGTTGACCCCCTCAAAAGATGGTCCCCTTTGAGATAGGAACATTCCCAAAGTTTCATTTCCTTAGCTCAATTCGTTTAAAAGTTAGAGGGGGGGGGATCGGGGACTTTTCGCTCACCCTGTATAATAAGTAATTATACAGTAGTTACTTTTACTACACATTATCTATAATTTGAGTTAATTGTTTATAATTCTGTATTGGAAGCAATAACAATAAATTATATCATTGAAAAAAAAAAAAAAAAAAAAAAAAAAAACTCCTCGAGTCTTTGCCTATCACTTTGTCAATCTATTTCAATAATCAGCCAGCTGCCTTGCGTGGACAGTTACTAATAAAGAAACAACGTGAGAAAGAGGAAGAAGACGACGTAAAAGAGGTCTCATGACAAGGAAAGCACCATCTCAGCCAAGTCAAAGAAGACGTAAGAAAAAGTGATTTCTCGCCCGGGGAAAGTGTGGGAGGAGAGCAAAGTTGCAATAAAAATGTTGCGTGTTGTTGCCGAAATATGCAAGCCGGGAAGTTTATGGACAATTTGAGTGACTATGCGACGAAATGCGACGGCGGATGGGGGCGGGTAGAAAATGGCGAAAATGTAAAACAATATAAAGTCACGATAGGAGCTAAGCGCCACGTTTATCGGCGAACATCGCTGCCGGGAGCCCGCGGAAAAGTGCAAGTTGAGCGGAGCCCGGCAAAACCCCTCAACTCCAACTTTTACCGTGCGTGGCCACGTGGGTTTTCGACTAAAAGAGGAGCTCATTATGAGCTCGGAGCTTTTTACCGGCGACTGGTAACCGCGGCGGCAATTGCTGAATCAGATGAATTAATAAACCTTGACAGACCATTATTCAGGTTACGTTTATTAGCGAGATAGTGATTTTCCTCGCGGGCGGGGAAGCGCGGGCCCTGGAAGAAAACAGGGATACAAAGGACAGAAAATAAATCCACCGAGATAAGGATCGTCTGCATTGAGTTGCGACCTGAAATACCGAAATGAGGGCCTTAAATACCTGAGCGCTGCACTTCGCGAGGGAAACCCGCGTGTTTGAAAAATGCGAAGAATGCATGTTCAACGGGAGCCCGCTGCAACTCAGATTGCATCGTTCGAATCCAACGGAAGCATTGCGAACGTCTATCTCTCTTGACGTCGAGGCAAGTGAAGAAACATCCGAGGGATTGCCTTGAGATACTGTCCATCCGGAAACAATACACTCAAAAAAAGGTATGACTCTGAGACCCATGAAAAATGGCTCGGAGATCCATAATTTCTAACGAAAGTGACTTACCGTCTACAGTATGGCTTTCTGAGCCATACTTTATTGGTCGTGAACCTACAGGGTTATTCGAAAGTCACGCACCTCTAGCCATAAGGGGGATGGCCATTTGAAATTTTTGAGTTGCCACCCACCCCCTGCCCCCCGAGGGAATCAAAAACTGGAAAGTACCTAAAAAAGTTTCCCCCTCGATATGAGGAGAAACGTTTCAAACCGCAAGTCGATATCATAATTAGAACTAAAGTTATGGCCGGTGGTGCGTGACTTTTGAATAACTCTGTATAAGCATGGCTTCACGAACTATATTTTATGGCTTCATAATCCATAACTCGGCCGGCAAGTCACTCTTCCCATACTTGTTTTTTGAGTGTACCTTTAACAGAGCCTGAATTTCTATCCTTCCTCTAGTGAAATTTTACGTTCAGAAGTCAACACTCAGCTTCGTCTCATGATGAAAATTTATAATTGATTAGGTTAGGTTAGGTTAGGTTAGGTTAGGTTAGGTTAGGTTAGGTTAGGTTAGGTTAGGTTAGGTTAGGTTATAAAATAATAGTGAGCGATATTTGAGCAAACCTGACCTAACATTCAAAAATTTGCCTGCGTGAAAATGCACTCTCCGATAACTATCAGTCGTCGATGGGCAAATCATCTGTTCAAAAGTAGCTCTGTGGGCCCGAAAGGGCAGCCGAATCTATGAATTCAAATTATTATCCATGGTGATTTAGTATTACAATTTCCACGACTCGTCGTTTGTAAAGCACGCATTTGACGTAGTTTTTGCATACATTTACTAATTATTGCAAAAGGACGCTCATTTATGTACATTCTTGGACATCTTGGTTTCATATTGGAATGTGAAGATTGGCAGCATTATTTTTCTGGTGTTTTCTGTGCTACAACGTTGGCTACTTTGCCTTTTTGGGCCCCAAGAGCTACATATTTCGGTAAGTCCGTACTCTCTACTCTAGTTGAAGAGTTACTCATCAATCATCATTAAACGAAATAAATATACTTCTTATTCAAACGTACAAATGCATGAGAGACACAAGCTATTCTCAGAAAGTTAGAATCTTCCGGGTGAAAATATAAGCCCTCACACACCAAGGGATTTGTTAGTATGATTTAGGTGGGGATGTAGAAAGGAGATATCTCAAATTGTATACGATTGTGAAAAACTGGCACTGTGACTGCGCCCTCATAATCGCTCGGTGAGTGCCGTCGCTTTTCGCCCAAGTAATTGCGTGATATATAATGTCATACTTTAATTGTCTCGTTGCTCTGAAACTGAGATTTCAACCAACAAAAATAATTGGCATCGTTTGCAGCAAACGGTTTAGTGGCAACAAATCGGGAATTAATAAGGACTTTTTAAACCCAGACAGTCAAACCTTTCCACCCCACCTACCTTTTCGGTTAAAGCATCTTTAACTAAATGTATTTAGCAACCAGCCAATCATGTAAGCACATGATTCAGGAATTTTTAGGTCAAAGGGCGTATGAGACTTTTAATGCTGCTAAGATTGTGCGCGCAACTTAGTTGTTTTAGTTGTAAGTGACTTATCCAAAAGTTCTGCTATGAATTTTTCCCTGAATCTGCTCCGAGATTTTCCTCACTATCGTAAGGAAGTAAGTCGACTGTGAATAAATTTTATCTGCCACAAACGCTATAAAAAATTACGCAATCTGAGCAACATTGTAAACCTCATACCAGTAGCGTGGCGTGAATTGCGATGTATCGATTGTTTTGTCATTTAAACCTATGGTAAAGAATCGATTAATTAGGTGTTCCCCCCCTGTTATCCCCCACCCTGTTTATCGATCCTTTTCCATAGGTTTAAATGGCATAACAATCGATATATCGCAAATATCGGAACTATGTGCATTATGGCATGAGCCCTGTTACGCATATATTCTTAAGGGTCTCAGGACCATGTCTTAATGCACATAGTTCCGTTTGGCAGAAATACGTCCTATTATTAATACTTAATCTGTGTTCTTATCCAAAGTACCTTCTTTTTCTTGTGTGCTACGCTGGCCAAAAGGAAGACGGGACCGGTTGGTCCTATTATTGCCAGCAAAAATAAACTTGTTTACATCTAAAATCTAAATCTATTATCTTCCAAGAGGATAGAGACCTTAACTTAAAAACTTATGCATTAGATATTGATATCGGAGCAGCCTATACAGGAGTTTCACATTTAGCGACACAAATAACAAAAAATGCTTAAAAAAGACACCAGCTCACCCATTTACATTACGACTCTATGTCTATGTGCTCCATTAAAAAATACAAAATCTTACCGGGTATTTTGCAATTTTAAAAAGTTTGCCATTGTGGAGTTCGCGCCTACTCAGAGACATCCGAGTGAATACGCGGCTTTATCAAGGTGCTGTTTCGACGGCTGTCCGGGTTTTTTTTATTTTATGTTTTTGCAGCCTCAGTCACATTTTCAGTTGATTTTGTACATTGGTTTCGGGCTCATTAACCCATTCGCCTCATTCAACGAGTATACTCATCAGCGCGTGCGCGGGACATATCTCAGTTGATGAGTTAATTCACAGCATTTATTGGCGTCGGTACACGATTGTCTTGGTCATGTTTTTTCGCTTTTTCGATAGACGGCATCTCAAGCGTTGCGACGTTGAACGACGACGCTCGATAAATTCCAAGTCAGACCAACTTATAATGACCCTCCAGTCATCGTCGACATGGGATACTTTTCGCGCATGGGATGCAGGGAAATCAACAGTCGTCCGTTTAAGAATTAAATGAGCAGAATTTATTAAACTATATCAAACATTAAAACAACTGGAAATAAGAAATAGGAAAAAAGAACGAGAAGTTAAGTAAGAATCTGAGATGCGATGAGGACATGTTCGACGTGATCACTATGCGCAGTTCTCCCACATTTTCTTGCCAGGGACGACGGTCTCTCCCCTGAGTTCCTGATTCAGGGCTCTCAGCATGGGGAAGTTCCCGCACTTGCAGATGTTCCTGATGTCGTCCAAGTCAGCCGACCAGACGGCGGCTCCCAACATCTTTTGGTCCTTGATGAATTTACCCTGAAAAAGCAAACAACGTCTCACTGACCCTGAATTTTTAGTCGTTCAACCTCAATATCGACGTGGATACAGGTTTGCTGGGGCAAAAAAAACTGCGAGACTGCACGTCGTGCTGAAAAGCCCGAGCAGACTTTTCGGAAGAATTTTCGGATGTTAATTTTTGCATTGGTACCTATTTGCACCGCACTTTTAGTTTTTAATTAAACGCCTATATTGACCTGCTGAGGGGGAAGCCACATTTCACTGAGCTACAGTAAGGGATTAATCTACTGAATTTGTAGGTCTTATTTCTAAAAGATTAATTTACTCTTCTAAAAATCCGTACCGAGATTAATCAAATTAATTAAATGGATTTGATGGGTTTTCCTCGGTCAATTTTCATTTGATTAATTCCAACACTCTCCTTCAACGGTGGAGGTGTTTGATGAATTAACTCAATAATTAATTTTTCGATCGTTTTTAAAATTACTCACCTTCCTGAGCAAGTCAGTGGTGTCTTCATAGGTTACCAATTGGTTTCCCTTGAACGCGTACGGGTTGAGCTTAACGGTGTTCTTGCGTTCGTGGACTACTTTCCAGCCTTTGTTTACCACATTGTTGCAGATCTGTGAATAAAACGGCATCACTCGTGAGTATATCTACTTTTACGTTCCAGAAAAAGTGTCAGGAAAGAACTGAAGTCCCACAAAAATTTATGATCTCTTAAAAACTACAGCGCCCGATTTCTGAATCATTCATGGGTCGTCTAGATGATAAACAAATGAATGGAGAATTTGCATCCAAATTTTTTATTGCTTCGTCTAAAAGTGCTTAAAGAGCTGATTTCACAATGTTTTACATACTTTTTTTCTGCTGTGGGAAAAAGTATAAAAATAGATTTAAAAGTGAGAAAATGCACCGCCCAGTGAAGTCATCTGGTGGCATTCCCCATCGAAACTACATCATTTTGTCAAATCTTCTACAATAATGGTTCAATTCATGAACCAAGGGTATCCTCGTGTTCAGTTCACTCAGTAGTTTCCACTTTAACACGAAATTCATCAAATTTCAGACACCTGCAAATTCTCTATTGATAGCTTCGTCTTGAAAGCCTCCATCATACACACCTTAAGTAACCATTTTTCTTCTAGTCGTAATCACGCGGTGTAACGTACTTTTTCACTTAATTAATGACTGGTTTTCATAATGGAAATAAAATGCTGCACTGCCATTGAAGAACGTTATGTGCGAGCCTTTAGACGCTACCAAATCTCCTTTGATAAAAAAACGAATTTACAAGAGAGCTTACAAATTCATGTTTTTATTCCAAATTTTGGAGATTCTTTCTCGCAATTATTAACGTAAAGTAGCTGAAAGTTTAAAGGCTAAATACTCACAACGTCCCGCAAGAGCAAATATTTTATCCGGGGAAATTTTGCGGCGACGAAACGTTCATACAGTGTGTTTTCATAGAACAGCGGAATGATATTCTTATGTAGAAAAACGTGAGCCCAATCTTTCTAGGCTACGGTGAATTTGCACTTAAACATTTGCTCAACCATAAAACTTCATTGCTAAATTACCAACAGAGAAGAAAGACGACGAAAAAAACAAAGGCGCAACTTCGAAAGTTGAGGGTTATTCCAGTGGGAACGTTTGAGTATATTATCTCCGCACTCTGTCGGTGTATCGTAGGATGTGGAACTCCCAACTTCAAAGTAGGTCGATAGAATGCGCTAACAGTGATGCTGGCAACTTAGATAGGACGCAACCCTTAAACGGGACGCTTGCCATTTCAGCTTTCCAGTTTCCACGAGACACTGACTATTTCAGTAAGCGATTGAATGGGTGCACTTCCTTATTTGCTCTATTTTATCAAATTCGTGACAATCCGTTTACTGATTTGTCTTCTTCCAGATTTGTGAATTATTTTCCAAAAGTTCCCAAATAAGGTCAATTATATTGGCTGCGAAATCAAAGAATTCAGACTGTGATTCTCTGACAAATCCAGGAACATCAGCATTCTGCAGAATAATGACTGGTCAACTGAATAATTTAGACGGAAAGTTGGTGCAGCCAACGTGCGTTTTTACTAACTCTTTTACGTAATCAAAAGCCACTGAATTGCATACATCAGATACTCTTGAGTCTTAATGGAACGTGACAACACGAGGCTCTAAGGTTTACCTAATATTAGCCTCACAAAATAAGGGCATGCAACCATGCACCCTCATTTTACTCGTTTGTAATCGCGCATGTGCTAGAGGAGAAGGCTTCCTCCTTAGGAATAAAATTTAGTTTGCTGAACGATAGAAGACATTTTAATCATGTGCAAACACTTGAAAATATAAAAATCTTTCATGATAAGAGAAGTCTAGGACGTAAAACCTCATAACTAGAAAAGGGAAAACACTCAATGCACTCTTTGGAGACTTTTTATCTGTTTCAATGGAGAATTTTCACGCAAATTTGTTATTGCCGCATCTGAGAGTGCTTAAAGAGCTGATTTTGCAGTACTTTTTCTCAGTTTTGCTCTGGCATGGGAAATAGTATCGAAATAGAGTTAAAAGTGAAAAAATGCACCGCCTAGTGACGTCATCTGGCGGCACTTCCCATTTAAACACGTGTATTTTAGTTGATCAGATAATTTTGTCACAACTCCTTCTGTAATTGTTCAATTTATGAACCAAGGGTATCCTCGTGTTCAGTTCACTCGCGGTGGTTTCCACTAAAACGCGGAATTCATCAAATTTTAAACACTTGCAAATTCTCCATTCAATACTGCAGATATGCATTTTACGATGGATGATGTAGACATTCATTTTGCCAGGTTTGATCAATCTGACACACAATTAACAGTCACCCCTACAACGTACCCTGGCGTTTTGCGACACCCAAACGCCACATGAGCCCATCTTTTTGAGGGTTATCGGACACGTGACAATGCAACATCTCTCCCTCAACGTCCTGCCGCCATCCCTTCATGGGACGCCCCTCACCCCTCAGGTACGTACTCCACCCAAAAATTGTTCGGGCAATCTCACCTCCGGCATTCTTTGTAGATGTCCATACCGCACCGACTGCATAACATGACGTCGTGCACGATTCTCTCGTTGCCGAGTGGATTGAGTGAATCAGAGAGGTCGGACGTAAAATTTTTCACTAAAACTGCAAATCTTGATGTTTATCTCGTCACAATTTAGATTTAAAGGGGTGCTTCTGGAAGATAATTTCACGAGGAGACCAATGAAACCACTTTCAGAACCTCACAATTTTGTATAAAAGGAGTTATAAACTATTGAAGTTTCAAATTTTTGTCCGACCTCTCCTATTGTCTCGATCCACTGTGCGTTGATTAATCTAATGGGAGTGAAATAAGATTAATTGAACGCACGATTGGACCACCTAATTGCAGCCCGCGACTTTCAGGGTCTGAAATGTTGTTGGACATTTGGGGGAGGGGGGGGGGGGCTCCAAAACCTCCATTTCCACACTGAAAAACAATTCTCGGCATCATTACGAAGGTCCGTTGGTACCTTTTCAATCTCACTTTTTTTACCAATTATTGGTAATTTTACCAAAAGAGACTAGTAAGCTTACCTAAAAACCGGTATTTTTACTGTTTTTTCCGGGTAAGAATACCACTTTTATTGGTAATCACTTCTCGGTAACTTTGCCATTTTATCTCGGTAATTCTACCACAGTCGATAAAAAATATTGGCGTTTTTACCACGGTCCAGTGAAATTACCGAGAAAGTTCAATAATTTTACCGAGATTTCTCAGTAAAATTACCAATTCCATAAATGAGAAAGAAAAGGATTTTAGCCAAGGTGTTATGGTTATCACTGCTTTATTTATTTTATAAACATTTTAAACGCTAAAGCTTTGGCTAAAGTTTTCGCTAAATGGTGTTACTAAGCATGAACGATTTCATAAATAATTCCATAAATGGTAATTTTACCAAAAAAAACTGGGATCAAATAGAACCCTGAATTCTTGGTAATTTTACCCTGTTCTTAGTAAATACACGGAGATTTTTTTTCAGTGCATGATCATGTTTTTAGGGTCGAACAAAAAATAAAAGATCCTTGATTATGGATCAGATAAGAGGTTAAAATCAATGTATTTTGTACAAACCTCGAAGTAGCCCATGACACCGGGAAGCTTGGTGAACTCAGCTGCAGCACCAGGGCCGGTGGTAGCGACACCGTAGCCATGCTTGTCAGCGGCCGCAAGAACGTATGAGTTTCCAGCCAAGCTAATGCCAAGGACTTGCTTCTTGAGGGGGACGCCTTTGGTGTGCAACTGCATGATGGTGTTCACCTGAAATTTCGACATTTCGATTATTTTATTTTATTTATTTTTTTTTTTTTATTTTTTTTTTTATATAAAAAATTGGTGACTATACAAATTGTAACCAATCGATTTAGAAGTTGCCGTGGGGCTCAGTTTCCAAAAGTTGCGAGAGAGGATCTTATCGTCAACGAACGTGGGAACGTAACTCCATTCCTGGGTTGCAAAATTGACTCAAATAATTGAATATTTCGCAAAAATGTACGTGTGCAGTTTTTGTCCGAAATGTTCCTGACTTTTACGTGAGATCGGAAGGAAAATCAGGGACATTTCTAGGCAGAAATACCTGTAAGATTTGCCTATTCAAAGTGCAATTTGATAGCGGAAATTTAGCAACATCGAAATGCACTTACCCAAGGAGCAGTGATTGCGGTGAGTTGCTATGTGATCGGGAAATGTATCGCGAATTTATCGACGGCGATTTATTGCAATATTGTCGGATGAAAATGGGCCTGTTGCAAACTTTTGCTAGAGCAAAACTAAGAGTTGTTTCTTATAGATAATGCCTCAAAAATCACGATGAGTGCATCGGCAAAGTCTGAAATGCGCTCATAACTTCACAAACTGCGTAAGAAATTTGCGGTTTTTTGAGCTTCCCGCTTCAAAAACGATACTACGGCACAGGTGAACATTTTGTAAGAGGAGTCGTTCCATCGTCGGCAATAATCATCATAGCCGACGCCAATCCGCCAAAACACGTTTGATGGGACGAGATAACACCTGAACTGGATTAGACCAGATAACAATCGGTGTGTTAACGTTCATATTTTCCACGCCCGAATTGATTGACCTTGAACTCTCCTTGAATTACGCGCGGAACCGCGTGCAAGCGTCGGCCATGATGAATATCGCCGACGATGGAGCGACTCCTCTAACAAAATGTTCACCTATGCCGTAGTATCGTTTTTGAAGCGGGAAGCTTAAAAAAACGCAAATTTCTTACGCAGATTGTGAAGTTATGAGTGCATTTCAGACTTTGCCGATGCGCTCATCGGGATTTTTGAGGCATTATCTATAAGAAACAACTCTTATTTTTGCTCTAGCAAAAGTTTGCAACAGGCCCATTGCGATAAAATGCGATTTCACCACAAAAATTTTCAATAAAATCGCGATTTTATCGACGGCGATGTATTGCAATGTTATCGAACAAAAGATCGTGATTATACCTGATCCTTCGGCAATCTAGTGGCCAGACATTTAGATAAATGTTTTGAGGAAATCTGGATTCCTCTCAAAATATGCTGTAGCGTTTTTATAAAGGACATAAGTTTTTTAACTTCATTTTTGCATTGAAACTATATATCATTTAAGAATCAAGGTGATGATCTCTTTCTGACTCTAAAAGTGTTGAGGCACATCTGGTGTAGATAAATTCTGAGAAATGCAGGTAATAAAATATCACATATACTTACGACGCTGGGTTCAGTCGTGGTGTTGACATTGTAGAATTGGGTTTCGAAAACTTTCGAATATCCTTGGTTGTATTTGTATCCTTCCACGAGCACAAAATCTAAGTATTTCGTCAAAACTTGAACGTTGTACGCTAGAATGTAAAGATTAGAGAATTTGTTAAAGCACTCCAAAAGGTTTAGCTGTTAGCTAAAAGCTTGAGACTCAGGTAAATGACCATTAAACCATGGACATTAGACAGGTCCATCATAAACTATTTTATTCTTTTCGCTGCTTTCCAATGCTCAACATTCTTTTATAGAAAGATAATGCATAATATGCTCACATAAATTAGTTTAAAGTTCTGTTAGTGCTAATTTTTTAGTGTGAAGTTGGATGCGGAGACATTTCGTATGATGCACTACTGACAGCGAATTTCGCATTGCTTCAAAGTCAAGATCAATGGTTGCAAGAGCAAGATATTTCTAATGACGGACAGCCAATGATAGCCTAAATTTTTTGGGGGACCACAAGTTATCAATCTGAGGCATAAAAATACACCCGTGGATCTCCTGTTTACGAGGTGGAAAATAAAAATAATTCGTACAGGGTCCCTGCACTTCTTAAAACCGAAACTCGTTTCAGACCTTAGGAAGTTAGAACTTGAGTTCCATCGCTTTAATTTAAACGTTAAAACGTAACTAATGACCCAAAAACTGAAATGGCATGACATGAAAGAAGTTGAAAAAGTATTAGAAGAATTTTCAATTTGACTTTCGTAGTGGATACAGACCTTTGTCGATAACGTCAATCTTGGGGGAGATGCCTGCTGCTAAAAGAAAGCTTTTGGGTTTTAAGGCTTCGCTCAGTTGCTTCATCAACTCGCCGTATCCGGTTCTCTCGTCGACACTGCCTTTTGTGCAGTCAGATCCCTGAAACAAGCCAAGGACTTTCATAATATGTAATAAAAAAATTCAGCCGAACTGGCTCATTGGTAAAAAAAGTGAGATGGTAGAGGTACCAACGGACCTTGGTAAAAACGCCGAGAATTTTTTTTCAGTGCAGTCAGTCTCTGACGCAGCCAGCTTACCTGTTGCCCGAGTCACTGATGTAAGGAAACATTATTGCATTTGGTTCTTACGAGAAGGTTCTGCGCGATGAATCGAGCAGTTCTCCTATCAGAACACTGGCCTTTCAGTCTCAAACTTCAAAATATTGGATATAATTTGAAGTTAAGATTTTTTACCATCTAATCTTATTTTCACTTACCTCTCGCATTTTAGTGAAAAAAAATCCACTCTAATACCTCGGTGCACTTCACTCAATTTTTCTCTGATCATTTGCCTTCATTTCACGTATCCGCAACCCTTCTTACACACGAAAGCTATGTAAGGCACCTCCCAATCGTTTGGATCAAGCATAGAGTAAATATTTTGAATTCAGATTTTGGCATACCCTTTGAAAATCAAAAAATAAAAAGTCAGGTAAATGAAGGCAGAATTTTTAAAAAGAGCAAAAAATAGCTTAAATATCAACAATTCTGGCGAGAAGGTCCCGACCCGATACTCTTGGGGATGTGTTATGACTCATATAAGTGAGGGTAAAGTCAAAATAATAAGTAATAAAGTGAGTTTGAAAATTGCTGGAAAACTGAAATGAACCTATTTAGCAGTTCGTGTCGATTTTTCTTTCTTCCCTTTCAAAGCATACTATATTTTAATGTTTCATACAAACTCTCAAAATTTAGAGAAAAACGGTAACGGTAAACCACTGTGAGCGCCATGCGGAAGAATCGTAAATTCGACTGCAACCCCCTTTGTTTTGAGTAGGAAAACATATGTACGTCTGAATAAGTCCTCGGAATCAGCTGCGAATCTGATTTTTCAGCCGTGAAAAGTTCGCTAGGATTTAAAAGCAGTTTTTCCGAGCATTCACAAAAATAAGCAGGTTACCTGCACCAAGGATATACAAGTGTTTTCCTTTTTTTCGGGCGTAAATTCTTCCTTCGTTGTTTTACCTTTAATGCCTGAAGTTATACGTGCTTGAAAGAAGTTGAGCTTCAGCTGACTCTCAAATGATACGTATCGGGACCGTCTCGCCAGAATTGTTGATTTTTAAGCTATTTTTTGCGCTTTTTAAAAATTCTGCCTTCATCGATCTACCTGAATTTTTATTTTTTGATTTTCAAAGGGTATGCCAAAATCTGAATTCAAAATATTTACTCTATGCTTGATCCAAACGATTGGGAGGTCCCTTGCGTATTACAATGGTTCCTTACATAGCTTTCGTGTGTAAGGAGAGTTGCGGATACGTGAAATGAAGGTAAACAATTGGAGAAAAATTGAGCGAAGTGCACCGAGGTATGAGAGTGGATTTTTTTTTTTACTAAAATGCGTAAGGTAAGTGAAAATGAGATTAGATGTTAAAAATCTTAACTTCAAAAGATATCCAATATTTTTAAGTTTGAGACTGAAAGGCCAATGTTCTGATAGGAGAACTGCTTGATTCATCGCGCAGAACCTTCTCGTAAGAACCAAATGCAATAATGTTTCCTTACATCAGTGACTTAGGCAACTAAACTTGCTTCAAAGGTAAGCTGGTTGCGTCAAAGACTGAGCTCACGATACCTGGGTTACCTCACGATAATTAGATCACAGCCTCCTCTTTGAATTTTAGGCATTTTATTGGGTACTCTGCGGTAGAACCGTTGCAAACCGTTTATATGATTATTAACCGACAAAGATTAGTTAACATCAGGTAAATAAGAAAGACTGTTTCGTTGCAGTCAGATTTCCAATGTACGATGGACAAAGTCTTCTCTCTTCTTCTCCAGTTTCAAGGGAAATCATTTGCGCAAACGAACCCTGCTTCCACCACCCCAAAAGCGCACATGTTCTTTTGTGCTTTTCTGCATTTTGAATTTCACTGTGTTACGGGTACGTTACAAGCCTGAGTGGCGTTTGACAAACGTAACACTTGGACGCTGTTAATAATTTTTGTAACTTTGTTTATCTGGGCTCTGCGATACCTAAAATTTGAAAAATTTGTAAGTCAAACTTACATCACGGCAAACAGGGTACTCCCACTGGAGCAAGAGTCCATCGAATTTGTGCTTGCTCAAAAATGCAACCACACTTTCAACGAAGGCCTTCCTGTTGTCTACGTTTGTGACCAATTTGACGTACTTCTCGAAATTTTTGGAATCCTCAGCACCACCTAAGGCAATGAGGGTCTTGATTCCCTTTGCCTTCAACGCCGCAAGATCTTTGTAAAGCTCCTCTGAAATTAAGAGGTGGATGATCAGGTTCTATGTCACATTTTATTGCCAAAGGCTGGCTAAGCTGTATAGAACATAGTAAATGATTTAAAAATCAAACTACAAGCCGAAATAAACAAGTAATATATCAGACTACATGTAGATGAGAAATAATACAAAACATACAAGAAACAAAGCAAACGTTTTGACCGCCTACAAACTGGGATCTTCGTCAGTGCATGTCTTTCAGTGCATTCAGTGCACTTTTTTATTCCAAGATGTAGTTACAAAAGATTGTGTATTTGTGCATGGGTTGCTAATAGTTTTGTAGCTGTTTTATATTGTAAAATATTTCCATTGGTTGTTCCTAATGCACTGAAGAAGATCGCAGTTTGTAGGCGGTCGAAACGTTTGCTTTGTTCCTTGTAAGTTTTATATTATTTCTCATCTCCATGTGGTTTGACATATTACTTGCTAATTTTGGCTTGTAGCTCGATTTTTCAATCAATTACTATGTTTTATATTATCATGTCCCCACTGTGGGAGGTAATTAATAATTCGTCGAATTAAAATGATGCAAGTCGAATAACATGTATCTCGATTGAAACGTTTCAAAATCTCGTTTTTTATTTGGTTTTTGAAAGAGCAAATAAATATGAATGAAGGGGTAACGCTTGAAATTTCACAAACTATACCGCAAATTATGAAGAGAGTGATTATTTAATCAAGTTGCCCATTAAAAAATGATTGCAACAATGAGTCTGTAACGTCGCAAATTGAGGTGGCTGTTTTTTCGAATGGGCCTGTTGCATGCAAGAGATACAGCCGCGCGAATAGACTTTTTAGAGGTTAAATGACACGAAAATTACGATGGTCACATTTAAAAAGTCTGAAATACACTCCTTACTGCGCAATTTGCGTTGTTAGGAACGCGCTTTTTCAAATTTCCCGCGTCTGAGGGCAGTTTTCTAATCACCGGAAACTAACAAACAGCGGGCTCGGTGATTTCCGGAAGATGCCGAGTCGTTGTTGTTGTTGTTATTTTTTCCTTCAGTTTGTTTACAAACCCAACGTGATCTCCTATAGTGGTCCATATACGCTTTATGCGGTAACCAAATCGATCAACTTTTAAATATCCAACGCAATCCCTCTATATTTCATTTCACGATGCCACGAGCTCCGATTTTTAGGTTATGTTGTCAGTTTTAGTTGACTAGAGTCCCTTTATACCCAGAGTTAAGACAACTCGATTATCAGCTGACTGGCAGCCGGCCTTGGCTGGCCATGGAGGCCGAAACGAGTGCACCCAAACGAACGATATTGAGGGATAAGGATCAGGAATCCTGCGATGTCTGTCACACAAAAACAACAACATCAACAAATTGATCAATTAAAAAGAAAATGAGATTGGTTTGTGAATAATTTCTTAATCTATTTTCATTTTGGACCGATGGAAATAACAATTTACTCTTGATAAACCACAATTAGGTAATATTTTCATTATTCTTGTTCATATTCGAGGTACCGCCATCTTGGTGCACTCGTTTCGGCCTCCATGAGCGAGAACCAATCAGAATTGGATTTTTTTCTAGGCCACTTTCAGCCCAACCAAAAGTGAGTTGTCTTAACTCTGGGTATAAAGGGACTCTATAGTTGACCGGAAATAGCCGCGAGTTGCCGTTAATTGTTTCCGTTAGAAAACTGCCCCCAGACGCGGGAAATTTGAAAAAGCGCGTTCCTAACAACACAAATTGCGCAGTAAGGAGTGTATTTCAGACTTTTTTAATGTGACCATCGTAATTTTCGTGTCATTTAACCTCTAAAAAGTCTATTCGCGCGGCTGTATCTCTTGCATGCAACAGGCCCATTTCACATTCAATTTCCGATACCATAGTCTAGTGTTGTATGCTCTCCTACCACTGTAAGTAAAAATTGAATTTTTTTGGGGGGAAAGAATGCATTTAAAGAGCGACAAACTTGTTTGGCACCATTTTTCCTCAAAAGATACAATTCCGCTATAAGCTTAACCAGAACAACTGTCTGAGGGTGCTCGATCCCCACCGTTCTAGGAGGAGCTGGGTCTTCCTGGGACAAAGGTGATCACAGGGGGGGTCTTCTCCACAGAATTCTGAAAAATTGGCCTCTGTTAGATGCATTTTGAGACTATTTTCACTTACAGAATTTAGCCATATGCAATACAAATTCAGATTCAACTCCTCTAATAATCCTGGAAAAACATTTCGAACTTTTTCCTTCTTTTCTGTCGCATCATGCAATAAAACAAGAAGATGTTCCAGTTCGGGGCCTATTTCCCAATGTCGAATTTTCTGCGGGGCAGGGGGGGGGGTCATCATTTAATATATTCTTCCATCTCTCTACTTACTAGTGTTGATTAAATACTAGGGGGTCTGCCCCCTAGCCACCGCGCGACCCAACCCCATTAGGTCCTTTTTCAAATAAACAGGTTGATTTAAATGATGCAAGTATACCTGATTTGGCGCTTCGGACTTGAATGGACTTAGAATCGTTTCCGACGATTGCGAAGCCGTAGATAAGGTGAGTGCAGTATTCTGATTGGGCGCCGGACAACAGGTTCTTCGGTGTCACCTTCCCCTGGTCATTCCCTCGGTCGACGCCCGCCCGCTCATCGTAGTAGCACATCACATGGAATGCTGAAAAGTTGAAATTCATTTTCAATCCATCAATACCCGCATTCTGAATTGAATCAGTGAATTCGAAAACACACCAACTCGGAAAAATTTCTTTTCAGGAAACACCTAAAACTGCGCGGCGGGCGAAGAAGTCAGTTTAAGAAACACCTTTTTGGTGCCAAAGGACAAGTACTTAGAGACTTTGTAAAGCACCAAGTTGAAATCGATACATCATGTTTGATGACAGAGAATTGAGCGTTTAAAAATTTCCGAGTTTGTGTGTTTTCGTTCTCACCGACTTTCAGATACTGATCTTTCACAGTCTGCTCTGCAAAGTTTATATTTTTTGACCTGAATAACGCTTGAATATCTATATAACTTGTTGGTACAAGGTACACTGAACCGAAAAAAGAAAAACCGCAAAATCGGATGGTTACCCCCAAAATGGCCAAAAATTGGTATTTCCAATGAAATACTTCGATTCTTCCCTTTTCCCGTCGCTGTTTCGAGCACTTCCGATTGCAATTTCGAAATTTCCTTTTGCGCGCAGATGCTTCTATCCATAAGTGTTACTAAACCGTAAAAAAGTGAAAATCGAAAAAAAACCCGAGTTGTTGTGTTTTCGAACTCACTGATTGAATTAGTGGAGATGCTAAGACTCTTCTCTTTTCTCATTGGCGAGACACCGAAAAACATGGTGCAAGCAAAGGAATAATAAATTGAAATTGAAATCAAAGAATACATTTTTTTAGGAGGAGGTTTGATCCATTGCCACAACACTCACGTGGGAATTAATATCCGTACAGAGTTACAATGACGTCCTTCGGATATGTTTCACGCTCGAGTTTTTTTCTTCTTCTTCTTCTTTCTTTTTTTCTTAAAGAAGTATTTTGCTTAATATGTCCCAAGAAACTGTCGGTTCTTGTAAAAATCATCCTGGACTTTTCGAAAACAGTATCGGTGCGGGAAATATTTAAAAAAATTTCTCCTTCACTTAAATCGAGGTTTTTCTCCTCGAAAAGGAATTTACCTATTCAAATATGCGTTATTTCACCTATATGTCACATACTGACAGATGGATCCAATGGGTGCTTGCTCTCTAAGTCAATATCACAGAGAAAACTGAATCGGTACCTTTGACTACCTCAAGCTGAAAGGTCACAGGGAGAGATCAGAGGATAACCTTAAAATACATCCGAAGGAAATGTATTTCAGCTCGGTCGATTATATCTTCCATATTTATCTTTGATTTTACAAAACTTCCATGCCTCAATTCGCAATAGCTTCAGTTTTAAAAAACTGGAATTAATTGGAGAAAATGGGTGAAAACTTCACAGAGGGGGGTGACGGCATGAAGAAAAATTAAATAAAATACCTGAAAAAAAAACTTACGTTGAGCTGCTGCTGCTGCTGGCTGTGCATCTGACGATACGTACGTCACTGCACATGCCCCCAGGAATAGGGCTATTTGAGGTAGATTTTTTAACATGTTCTTATTCTGAAACACATTGAAACAAGAACCGTTTGTTAGTTCCAGCATGTTATTATTTCCCTTACCCATCACACCGTGAAGTATTGATGAGTCCAAAAATTAACTGACTTAATGGCTATCCCTCATGATCGCTCGGTACGAAATGGTGCAGGAGCAAAGTTCTTTACACTGGAAAAAAAAACACATTAGATCTAAAGTCCAGACTCTTAAAACCATCGACAAGAAAAAATACTCTTGATTCAATCGGATTTTTGCTTAAATCAAGAACCAAGCCTCTTAATTTCAGCGGATTTCCTTTTGATTTAAGCTTTTTGATTGAATCAAGAGTATTTTTTCTTGTCAATGTTTTCAAGAGTCTGGACTCTAGATCCAATGTGTTTTTTTTTCCAGGGTAGACGTCTTGCGTGGAATTTGATCACTGAAATTTCCGACACCTAGTAAAATACTTGAGTGGAAAACCAGGGCCGGATTTACCATGTAGGATTGTAGGTGCAATACACCACAGAATTTTTTTATCCCCTTACGCCTCAACATAAACGTTTTAACTATTTCCTAACCACTGGAGTCTTCTTAGTTTCTCGTAGGCGCGTAGTTGAGTCGAGAGGAGGCCAGCTCCCCTTTGTTCCCCGCAGAATGTGCGCCAGAAAACTACTCAAATTTTGTTGAAGGGGGCTTCAAATTTCAAATTTTATACCTCCGACTCGCCTGCAGTAGTGGATCTCAGAGAGAGGGGGGCACGATGGCACAACTTACTCTCGATCAAAAAAAAAAAAGAAAAAGAAAAAAAACAGAGAGAGAAAAAAAGAGAAAAAAGGAAGGAATTTAGAATTAGAAGACCAGAAGAACAGATGAAACAGACAGAGATAAGAAGAGTAAGAGTAGCATACCCAAAAATTTACTAAGATTGTTTTAGGACCTAACTGTTGTTTTTTTTTGGGTGGGGAGGGGGGAGGAGGACAGTCATTTGTTTTTACCTAAGAAATATTGTTGAGTTTAACGCCTCTGCCCTCTTATTTTTGTTATTTTCCCTTGATAGGTGCTTGAAATTAAGAAAAAAGACAGTAAAGAAATTAAGTCCGACCATTTTGAACAATCAAATATTTTACAAATTGTAAGCTGAGGCTGCTTAGAATTCAATCCGAGAGGGCTATTTCAGAAAATTTTCCTGTGATGGCCCCGCCTCCCCCCCTCAATTCTGGGGTGTCCCCTAGACCCCCCAATCGAAAAAGCGGTCTCCCTGGAGCCGCCACTTCCCTCCTCTCCTCCGAGGAGGTACACTTTAGGGGGGCCCGCACCTCAGACTGCGCCTAAGGCCCAAAAAATCATAAATCCGACCCTGTGGAAAATCAAGAGAATATATGGATTTGAAGAAATGTGTACCATAATGATTTGTTCCAATTATTTGTATTCAATACTTAGTAAGCGCCACTAGTTAATGTCGAGGCAGTGCAACAATTTCTTGCACTTCACTCACATACATTTAGTGTTGCGCACGGTTGCAAACGAAATACCACAGCAACACACCGTGGCAACGATCATAACAATTCTTGTCCTAAAATTAAAATTCAGAGAAAATGTCTCAATGAAAATGTTTTGCCATAAAGCAAAGAAATTGAGGTTCCTTTCAAGTAATGAACACGATACGCATAATATTAGCAACACTTGATGGCGCTTACCAAGTTTTGAATATCTACTCTGCGGTTGTGACGGAGTTAGTCAAATTTGCCTCANAAAAAAAAAAAGAAAAAGAAAAAAAACAGAGAGAGAAAAAAAGAGAAAAAAGGAAGGAATTTAGAATTAGAAGACCAGAAGAACAGATGAAACAGACAGAGATAAGAAGAGTAAGAGTAGCATACCCAAAAATTTACTAAGATTGTTTTAGGACCTAACTGTTGTTTTTTTTTGGGTGGGGAGGGGGGAGGAGGACAGTCATTTGTTTTTACCTAAGAAATATTGTTGAGTTTAACGCCTCTGCCCTCTTATTTTTGTTATTTTCCCTTGATAGGTGCTTGAAATTAAGAAAAAAGACAGTAAAGAAATGAAGTCCGACCATTTTGAACAATCAAATATTTTACAAATTGTAAGCTGAGGCTGCTTAGAATTCAATCCGAGAGGGCTATTTCAGAAAATTTTCCTGTGATGGCCCCGCCTCCCCCCCTCAATTCTGGGGTGTCCCCTAGACCCCCCAATCGAAAAAGCGGTCTCCCTGGAGCCGCCACTTCCCTCCTCTCCTCCGAGGAGGTACACTTTAGGGGGGCCCGCACCTCAGACTGCGCCTAAGGCCCAAAAAATCATAAATCCGACCCTGTGGAAAATCAAAAGAATATATGGATTTGAAGAAATGTGTACCATAATGATTTGTTCCAATTATTTGTATTCAATACTTAGTAAGCGCCACTAGTTAATGCCGAGGCAGTGCAACAATTTCTTGCACTTCACTCACATACATTTAGTGTTGCGCACGGTTGCAAACGAAATACCACTGCAACACACCGTGGCAACGATCATAACAATTCTTGTCCTAAAATTAAGATAAAAATTCAGAGAAAATGTCTCAATGAAAATGTTTTGCCATAAAGTAAAGAAATTGAGGTTCCTTTCAAGTAATGAACACGATACGCATAATATTAGCAACAATTGCGGTTGTGACGGAGTTAGTCAAATTTGCCTCAACGTCGGAAAAAACACGAGTAAAATAACGGTACTGCGGCTTAGATAGGTTAATTTTACATCATTTGGTGCAAAGAACACCCGAAAATTTCTTATATTGACTTTTTCACATCCATTCGAAATTTGAAGACGAATTACGGGGAATTCGAAGAAACCTGTTTTTCCAGTTTGCCGGTTCTGTTACCTGTCTAAGGAACGATTTACCTCAAACTCTAATGAAATAATTGATAATATAAGATTATAACTTTGACACAACTTTTTTGAGAGAGCTAGAACGTGTCTAACGTCAAAAACTGAAAATCTATATTTTTCAACGGAAAACGACTTTTTCGGTCAACTGAAAAATTTGAAGTGTCCACCTCCCAAGTAGCTCAGTGTAATGAAAATATTACAATAAAAGTGAAATTTTTGTATCATGAAATTGCAATATTTTTACATCATTTGGTCAATAAATGCCGATTGTAAGCAATCCACAAAGTGAGTTTCGCGTGTCAGAAAGATAGGCAATATGCAGTGCAACGAAAAATTGCAACTTGTTTCAATTTTATTGCAGTAAAATTCAAGCCTTGTGCCTTTGATCAGAAGGTAGGCAACATACACAACACTCCGATGCAGTAGCAATAATTGTACCATGTGACTACAATTTATTGCAATCTGTGCTACTTGAGCTGAGGGAATTTTTGCCTGAACCCATCACATTTACTAAAAATTAACAGAGATAAGAAATGATTGAGAAGATCACTGCACACATTCGGAAACGCTACGAGGTACTCCTCGACGGTAAGCAAGGAGACGGATGATACGGTAAAGGCCGAAACTCACCACGAAAAGCGACTCGAGAACAAATTGAGGTAGAGTAACTGAATGTGGCGAAATGGGTCGGGGTTTATATAGAATATTCGAGGTCGCGAGTACCCATCCAATAGAAGATTAAATTGAAAAATTGCTCGAATTGATGCGGAGTGTTTATGAGCGGGGCAAGCTCCGCAGGCTCATCTCTGGGGCCTGGCAAATTACACACGTCAACGTAAACATTCGCACGTCTTGAACCCGCCGATTCCGGACCGGTTCAGTTCGTCACCCCAAAGTTCGACCTCTTTCCGCGCGACGCGACACCGCAAATCGCACGTCTCACAATCAGCGGCTTAAGTCATGGGTTAGGGTAATCCTCAGTCAGTCTCGCTGAGTTTATGACGCCAGGTGAAGTGATGCCAAAGATGTGATTTTGGCGCAAAGTCTCTGAAGGAATAGTTCTGAAAGATGTGATGTTTTGCGCTAAACCACCTTCATATCTAGTGATCCTGGAAAAGGTCAGGGAGTTCATAGTAATGAAACAACAAAAAATTAGATCATCTGAAATTCTGATATGAATGGGTTCTCTCCCAAAGATCTCAAGTTTAGATAACCCCGCCTCTGAAAAATAAATTTTCGATGAAATCCGCACACACAAGGGAACTTGAGTCCCTTTATACTGAGAGTCAAGACAATGTGAATCCATTTCTGATTGGTTAATTCCCGTATTTTACGCCTCCACAGTGTCACAAACGGGAATAAAGATTACACTTTCACCGATTGCAAAAATTATAATGTAGAATGGACCGGAGAATAACGGGTTCGACAAGGAACAAACGGAATGAGAGAAGGAACGGAGAAAGGAATTTGAGAAGGAGCCGATCAAAGATTACGAAAAACTGCCAATTTGTGTAATCTTTATTCCCGTTTGTGACTCCATGAGGGGGGTTGTCTTGACTCTCAGTATAAAGGGACTCTAGGGGTACATACCTACACCGCCTTGCTCGAAACACGAGCAGAATTGTGCAAGTTGGACTACATTTTGCGATTAGGGTCTATAATTTTCAGCTCAACCGTGAAAACACTAGTGTATACCTGCGTCACTGAGGTTGAATCCGTTTATCCCTGTAACGCGCCCGTAATGCAGGCTTAGACCCCTTTCCCCTCTACCTTGTCCGTAGGACTGCATGATTTGCAATTAGGAGATACGATTTCTGGCTCAATTTAAAAACAACTCATGTAGCCTTGTAGTTTTCCTATCGACGTTTGTTTTTTTGTAAGGAAGAGGCAGAAATTTTAGTTTTTGATCGCAAAATTCCAGTCTTAATTTGATTGCATTTTGCAAAAAGGAACCATTAAGAGTATTCCAATGCCGCTAAGATTCTGACACTTTCTTTACCTTGCAAACATAAACTGATCATCTAAGAAAATTTTATCTTTGCTCCCAATAGACTATAAATTCAAGACGAAAATTACCTTTGTAAATTTAATTATTGCATGATTTCAGTAATACTTTGCCAAGAATGTAAGTTGTACAATCCTAGCGACATTGGAATGCTTTTAGTTCCTTTTTGCATAATGCAGTCCAATTGGATTACATTTAGCAATTAGGAACAACTATTTCTGGCTCAGTTTAAAAAGAATTCATCGGTACATCTTGATGAAACTGCATGGACGTATAAAAACCGGGATAAAATGGTATGGACTGAAGAACGTAGAGAAATTGTGTAAAATGGTATAAAGAGGGGATAAAATAAGAAAAAAGAGTCAGGAACCGAGATTCATTACCCTTGAATGCAATACAGGGTTATTCAAAAGTCACGCACCACTGGCCATAATTTTAGTTCTGATTAATCGACTTGCGGTTTAAGACGTTATTCCTCATATCGAGGGGGAGAATTGTTTAGGTACTTTCTAGTTTTTTATCCCCTCGGGAGGAGGGGGCGGGGAGCAACTCAAAAATTTCAAATGACCACCCCCCTCATGACCAGTGGTGCGTGACTTTTGAATAACCCTGTATATAATACTGAAATTTGAGGAACGATGTTTTGCGTATTCAATCGGAGCTGAAAACAAAAGTTCCATGGAGCGATGTATTGATTTACCACTAAGCGCACAGATAAACTTATCTAACAAGGGCGATAGAGATATCTACCGATAATTTCCGTCCTATTCAAATGTAAATAATTTTATCAACACCATGTAAACAATTATTATATGCACACTCATTTATTTTGTATCACATTAAAACTGAATAAAGTCAGATGGGGAATGTCCCTGAAGAAAAAAAAAAAAAAAAAAAAAAAAAAAAAAAAAACAGATAAACTTATTCGACGGGAATGATCTGTTGATTTGCACTAGTTGGATTGGACGTTGATGACGTAACGTGTTTACAGGAAAGGACGGTCACTATCTGTCTCGCTGGAGATCCTCTTCACTCATTGCCTGTCCTCGCTGACGCTCGAAGCGGGATTGTTGGGCCCAATTGTGCCGGTGATGGAGATAAAAAAAGACATCAATTTTTGTTCCGCTCCACTTGCGTAAATTTTTCCACCGAGAGCCCTAGCTCCAATCACCTTTGAGCGCACTGCGCACTCGCACGAAATGGGAGGAGAATCTTTCCATGCAACTGCCAGTCATGGATGATTCATCATTTAGTCATCCCAGGTTTTCATTTTGCGGGATCTTAATATACCTTTGCTTAACGTTTTCGTTTCTCGTTCAAAAATACCCAGCAGGATGGTCTTTAATCTGACGTTGTTAAAGATGGTCCCTTTAAGCTCTATTATTCTATGCCGCGATAATTCTAACGCGAGTTCGAATAATCGCGCCAAACACAGTGCGGCCGGCGTTAAACGTATAGTAGCGCCTGCAAGACTTTAAGAATACTTTACGCATAGCGCCAAACAGTGCGGTCGGCGTAAAGCCCATATAAGCGCCTACAAGACTGCATGAATACTTCTCGCATTGCGCCAAAAGCAGTACAACTTATCTGGCAACAATAGAGTCTGCGAGGGACGAGAGGCTGCCTTTCTGGGAAAATTTTAAAGTAAATATTTTAAAGTAAGTTTGAATAATTGCGCCAAACACAGCGGGGTCAGAAACGCATATTAACGTCCATAAGATCGCAAGAATACTTCGCGCATTCTTGCCAAACAGTGCGGTTGGCGAGAGGCGCATGTTAGCGCTTACAAGCCCGCAGGAAAACTTCTCGCATTGCGCAAAACGGTGCGGTCGGCGAGAGGCGCATACTAGCGCCTACAAGGTCAAAAGAATACTTCACGCATTGCGCATATCGATGGCGCGGCGTAAGTCCGCAATCACATATCTCGTTTGCAGTGTCTGAGAATCTCCGCCTCTATGACGGCACTTTATAAATTTTATTGGCATTTTTGAAGCCGAATATTCGCGTATGACCGGGGTTCCATAAGGCAAAGCCCCTTGGCTAGCCGCGACGGACGCGCAAAGCGCGTCCAGAGCGGCTAGTACTTTATCAATGTGCAAAAAATCAAAAAGGAAGAATGGTCAATTCTAGCAACTTCTGAACGCTGAAAAAAAAGAGAGCCAACCAATTTTCGACCGCGAATCTGGTGAATTTTCTTTGATAATTTGCTTGACAAGTTGCTCATCAACCATCATTAGGACGTATTTCTGGCTAACGGAACTATGTGCATTCAGACATGAGCCCTGAGACTCATAGGAATGTATGCATAACAGGGCTCACGTCATAATGCACATAGTTCCGTTTGGCAGAAATACGTCCATTAGATGGAAAAAAGCGTTTCGTATACCTCTGGATCAACTTTTGGCTTGCTCGCTTACATTGCCTAGATTCTTAGTGCGGGGTCTACATGGATGGCTCAAGTGCCAGATCACGTATCTCTCTTTGCGACGGTGAGACTTCCAGTCATACTTTTATTTTTCCTAGAACTAGAACCAGTCAAAGTAATCTCTTGAAAATTTCCTTGATTTTTCTTCCCTCTCGAAAGAACATTCTGAATTTTCAAGCTCTGAAGTCGACTTGCTCCTCTTAAAAAAAAAAAAAAAAAAAAAAAAAANAAAAAAAAAAAAAAAAAAAAAAAAAAAAAAAAAAAAAAAAAAAAAAAAAAGAACGAAGATTTTGAGGCACTGCAATGGAGGTACGTGGTCTCGCACTTTAGCCATCGATATACAGAGTTATTCAGAAGTCACGCACCACTGGCCATGAGGGGGGTGGCCATTTGAAATTTTTGAGTTGCCCCCCGCCCCCCTCCCCCGAGGGGATCAAAAACTGGAAAGTGCCTAAAAAAGTTTCCCCCTCGATATGCGGAAAAATGACTTAAACCGCAAATCGATAACATGTTCATAACTAAAGTTATGGCCAGTGGTGCGTGACTTTTGAATAACCCTATATTGTCTCAGCTGTCGATCCACCCCAGAGACAAAAGACCCTCCACTGGTATTTTGCCAATAGTGGAAGCTTCTAATTTCGGGACCTCAACATTTAATTGACCTTTCTACTAGGTGGGTGGTTCACAACGTGTAGGAAGTTTCGTTTTGCAAACAAACCGACGTTTGGGAAACTCGTTTGGCTTGTGACGTCACTCGAAGCTCACCAATCTAGCAGGTAAGATTACTATCACCCCCTAATAACTGCCTATGGGGAAGTGTTGAATCCCCGAAAGTATACGCTTCCACCTGTTGCCAAAAACCCAGTGGAGGATCTGGATCTCTTGTCTCTGATTCACCCTCGGGGTTAAATGAAGCGAGTCGCTGATAAGAGGATGATAAGAAAAAGTGAGTTGATGGTAAAACCTGGGAGAAGCACTTAGAAATAGGGAAGGCGGATTGTTTGCGGTGACGGAGAGAGCCGAGAATGGGGAATACGTGAGCTTTGCGGCGCGCACAAGTTGTCCGCTTGGCAAATTGCTTCGCGCGCGACTAGACCACCCGCCTGTAGGGTGTACCTTATTTTTGAGTTTTGCGAAAATCAAGTTGGTCAACCCCTAAAAAGTTTC